ATCCAGACTTTAAACCGAGGCATGTATGATCACAGAGAAATTCACTAAAATATAATGTCCTCAGAGGACAAAAGTCTATGCCTGGGTCCCAGGCGGATATACCCTCAGGAATATAGAATCTTCATAATGAAATCTTATAGAATGTTACAATTGTTTCTTTCGTCTTATATTGATAATTGTTTAAACACTGCGAGAATGCTGTGTGGTTTTGAGCTGTGATATGAATCATGCACTGTATGTAATATTGAGACAAAACCACAAAAAAATGGTTAGAGATGCCACGAAGTAGGTGGCAATGCCTTAACCATATGTGTGTTGAAGGTCACTAGGACCTCTTCCATCCTTGTCAAGGGGAGTGCTAACCTTCTCTCCTTTCATACAACACAATGCCATACGATTCTTCGCAAAGCATATAAAGGGCGGTAGCTGCCCATTATGCTCATCAACGGTAACTTTTTTTAAATTGGAAAAACATACTTCGTTCTTATGGTGTGTATTACATATTGGAGTGTAGAAATGTCTGTATATACGTTATACGCGTATTATTTGGATTTATGTTTTTAAAAAGCTATTTTGCCATCCTTAAGACCCGCGCATTGCTTTCTCATTTGCATCTCCGACATGTCGACCAATCACAACGAGGAAACAACAAACGTCACAGACTCTCGCCGAGATGTCGACCAATGTTAATTGCCCAGGAAGTAAACACAAGCTCATACAGTGTAAAAGCAGTTGTTGCAATACAGCTGATATCATGTATGCTATGTGTTTTAATACGCAATTTTAAATATTAATTTATTGCCTTTAAATATTCATATGTGGAACATGGAAGAGCTAATGGTTTGCGATGTTCGTTTGGCCAATAATATTAGTAAGTTTCAAATTAACCAATGAATAAATACATATTTTGTTCTGAATTCTTATGGATATTTTTGTATTAATAAGACTTGTTTATAAAGTTAACATGAGTGTAAATGTGTACATATTTCACTTGTTTTCAGCCCTGACCTGCCAGTGTTAATTATTTTTGTGTAAAATTCTAAAACTAGGATATAATGTTAATATACAAATGTGTGATGTCATGCAGGTAACTTCAGATTTTACACACACACACACACACACACGTCTGGTTTGCTATCCTTGTGGGGACTCTCCATAGGCATAATGCTTTTTCTACTGTACAGACCGTATATTCTATTGCCCTACACCTAAACCTACCCCTTACAGGAAACTTTGTGCATTTTTAGATTTTCAAAAAACTTCATTCTGTGTGATTTATTAGCTTGTTTACCCATGGGGACCTCAATTTAGGTCCCCACCATGACACGAGTCCCCACGAGCCTGTGTATTCAGGTTTAAGTCCCCACCAGAATAGAAAAACAGGTACACACACACACACATAAAGTGATACACTGAGACAATCATTCATTGATTTTTCCTCTCCATCTTTAATTGGCACAGTTAACACATACAAAGTATTCAGTGCTCCAAAACACAAGCATAAACTGAACACAAACAAAAAAGTGCAAAACAAACATTTGGCAGACCCCACCAAACAAGACCAAAATAAAAAGTGTTTAATTAATTTAGCAAAGCAGAGAAAAGAAACTGGGACATTTTTATTAATCAAAATTTAAAAATAGACTCTTACCATGGATTGGTAGTTCACTCTTATTTATAGACTTGTACTTATAGATATACATATATATATTTATAGTTCTCTGATTTGGGAATGGTTTAAATATCGAAAACCTCTCCTGGACCCAAAAGGACTGTGAGATAATTAAAAAATCTAAAAAGAAAAGTTTAAATTAGTATGTGCCTCAGGGATGGTGAGTAAACAGTGGAAGAAGACGGGAAAAAAATCTCTTCACAAAAGAAAAAAAGAAAAAGAAAAATCAAACTCCCCTTTGTCAAACCACAGTGATTACATTAAAAAGGGGAAATAATCAGTTGAATTAAAAACCTCCAAGTCTATTCTTCAGGTTAAGAGAGCCACACAAATGCTCACAGCTCACATGATGCATGTCAAATGTCTGGTTAACCTGTACATTTGGCTCAGAGTACATTTAAATCATTACATACTGTTTATATATATAACCAGAGGTTCTCGGCTGGGTGCTCCACAGGGTAAAACCATGAAGACATGAACAAAACAGCTGTCACAATAAATACATACCCATATCAACAGGACATTATTCATGAGTGTAAATATAGCCCCTCCCTTGCCCGACAAACAAATACAGCATTTGAGCATGATGATTGGACGGTTAAGGTAAAGCAGGAAGTCTAATAGATGAAATGAATGAAAATGTGAATCACTGAAGGGACGTTAGATAAAAATGAGTTAGATAAGATGGCAAACAGACAGACAGAATTAGTAATTGCACTAGAAGGGCGGAGACAGAGGAGGTGCCAGGGCAAGCAGACATGCTATTGGCCAGTGAAGCCCCGCCCCTGACATGTGCAACAGCCATATGAGCAGCCACAGCCATATAATGGCCAGCAGCTGTTATCTTTGGGAGGTGGAGTCAAAGGGTCTAAAGGGGTGTGGCCTGATGAAGGAGTGAAGGAGCGTGACATCATGAAGAATTTTAATGCTGCGTTCCAACTCAAGAAAGATTCCAGCTTGCAACTTGGAAAAGTGCAACAGAACGGCACTTAAGACATTTCACATCATACAGTACATGTGGTTAATGTTAAACAAATGCTTTTAAGCTAATAAAATGTATGAACGAGTCAAAGTTCCTACATCATAAGTTTATATATGAATGTTTTTTGCTGTGTAAAACATGATTTGTTGATAATCATACACCTGTAAAACATGCTTGCATTGCCATTTTGTTTCTTTATACACTAAAAGTTTAGAAAAATGTTTTCCAAAGAAGTTTCTTCTGCTCACCAAGGCTGGATTTATTTGATCAAAAATACAGCAAAAACTGTAATATTGTGAAATATTATTACAATTTAAAATATCTTTTGTCTATTTTAATATATTTATATTTTTGTGGAAACCGTGATAGACTTCCATTCAAAAGTTTGAGATAAGATTCATTTTTTTTAATTCAGCAGGGATGCATTTAATTGATTAAAAGTGACAGTAAAGACATTTATAATGTTACAAAAGTTTCTTTCTTTTGAACTGTCTATTCATCAAAGAATCCTGAATTAAAATCACGGTGTCAGCAGCAAAAACTGTTTTCCGCACTGATGATGATAAGAACCATTATTAATAACTGAGCACCATAATTGAACATCATAATTGAGTAGCAAATCAGCATATTAGAATGATTTCTGAAGATCATGTGACACTGAAGACTGGAGTAATGATGCTGGAAATTCAGCGTTGCATCACAGGAATAAATTACATTTTAAATGACATTCAAACAGAAAAATTACGTATTTGAAATTGTAAAAAAAAAAAAAACAATGTTACTGTTTTTGCTGTATCTTTAACAAATACATGCAGACTTGGTGAGCAGAATAGCAAAACATTAAAAATCTTAATTGTTCCAAACTTTTGACCAGTAGTGTACATCATCTTTCGAGCATCAAGCTATATATAATATGAATATGGATGGAACGCAGCACTGTCGTGGTACCGCAAATTCAGCTCCTTTAGCAGACCACATTCCCAGGGTTTTAGTTCGAGGAAAGGTGAGGAAATTTGACACAAGACGGTTAAAGACAAACACACATACATACACTCACTCGCACAGGCTGAAAGAAAGTTTAGCGCCATTCAGCAGCGATGAAGAGCCGTAAAGCAAAATGATATATGCAGATCATATTCACCTCATTATAAAATAACAGACAGGTAATAAATCTAAATGCCATAATATTTCTCTGATTCACTGATAAAGTTCCTCTCTACAGCAGGAGAATTTAGACCGAGAGGTCTCTATAGCCTCTTCCTCTCGCTTCTTTCACTGTTCCTCTCTTTGTTTTGTGCCTGTCTCTCATCTGTCTCACTCTAGGGCGGTTCATGGAGGGTAGGCTGTAGTTTTCCTCACATGTGGCTGCTGTTTGCCCTGCACCAGAGTCCTCCTTCCATACTTTACGAATCTGCAGTCATACAAACAAACATATGAAAAACAAAAGCAAAAACATGTTAGACTCGGTGAAGGGATGGATTCATGCCCTCTAATTAAAATCTTTTTAAACTCTAACTAACCCTGGGTTATCTTCTTTTTATTTTTAAGTCATTTCCTTACGCCAGTGTTGTTTCATGTTTTATTAGTTTTTGTTTTCTTTAAATATATATTTTTTTAATTTCAGTTTTAGAATTTTTTTATTTCAGTTAGTTGTCAAGGCAACATTTAAATTTTGTTTGATTTTTTAAAAAGTTTTTTTACATTTCAGTTTGTCATCTAATATATATTTTATTTTATTTCAGCTTTATTCCAATTCACAAAAATGATTTTTAATAGTTTTACTTTTAATAACTACAAAGCTCCACACATAACATGAGGGGGGGAAAAAATAAATCTTTCCCATAATTTAATAATTTGTTCCCATGATATATTAATTAGTTCCCTTGTTTTAGGTAAATAATGGCCACTGTTTAAATAAATTGAAACAATGTACAACATGACCACAATTTAACTAAAGAAGGGAACAAATGAATAAGCCCTGAGAACAATGTCTACTACATATACAGTAGTTACTGTACAATGCTATATACTACAGTGCCAATTAACCCATGATAAACTAACAGTGTGAAACATGGAACAAGATAATCCAGGGTTAAAAAACAACTATGATAACAAGTGTGAAAAGCCCATTTGAATGCATCCCTAAACACACACATATGACATATATGCAAATATGAGCTGTACACTTACAAAATAAACTGGAAAATGACAATATAAACACATTGGATTGTTTGTAGCATGTTTTATAATATGCATGATTTGTTGGCAAGAGTATTTCAGTGTTCTTGGTTGAATTCAAGAACAAATGTGACCTGAAACGCACTCAAACATGCATTTATGCAGTGAAAAACTGCCAAAAACTCAATCAAACAGTCAGAGGACTCAGACTAAGTTTAGTGTTTTCAGCAATCAAGATCTGCATGTAGGTTATCTCTCTGTTGGTTTGTGAAGCAGATTGGGTTTTGTGTGTGTGTGTGTGTGTGTGTGCATGTCATTTTGCAGACAATTCTAACTTAAAGGTGGCATAACTAGGTTAATGCATGTCTAAAATGAAATAAAAGTCAGACTCCAACACTTCATTCAGAGGAAATCACACTTGTGCAGTATTAAACTGTTTTAAATGTCAAACGCAATTCATTCTAGATCTCTTCAAACACACGGTTAACGCACTCAACTAGAACTCCGTCTCACCCTCAGAAAGAAAAACCCTTCTCCAGGAAAACACATCTGTGAGGAAACATTCATATTCACGTCATATTTCATCTAAAATGGCATTTAAGCTCTTAGGAATAAAGATCAGGAGCACCAAACATGATTGTGTGGATGTGATGCATACTATGCAATCAGGATTTATGAATGCATACTGTGATTTTACTCATTTATATTATGTTTTTGTAAACGTCTATGTATCATATGTGTTTTACAAGGTTATTTCTTCTTTTTAAGACTATCAATATCAACTACAAGTGTTGAGATTGAACACAATGTGAAGAAATAATACAGCTAAAGATCCAAAAAGGCAGTCTCCGTCTAACAAGTATTAGCAAGTGATGTGCTTTTCACAAATATATTTTGTGAAAAGGAAATTATACTTTTTTAGGCTACTTGTAAACTGTTTATTATTACTAGGGCTTGACTTGTGGTTATAAAAAAATTTTGGGGGGGGGAAAACACTAGCCTAATTTGACCTTCAGTTCATTTGCATATTAAAAACTTGCATGTATCTCTTTATATATGTGTGTGTTGTATTTTTGCTTGTACATTTAGTCGGAGTGATCTACATGCACTATCATACATACATGCACTGCTACTCAATATGACAAGATACTACCGCCATATTAAACTATGGAGGGCTAATATCTAAAACTGTCATGTGCTAAGACATATACAATCATTTAGTCCTACAGTTTCAGAAAAAAAGTCTCCGCTTTACCAAAAACAGTCTAAAAAGTCACATTGTTGGCTTGGAGAAGGTCAGGATCACACACACACCCCCTAGACGTCTCCTTTAGTGTTCATACAGAAACACACTTCTGAGATCACAGGACCAAAAGCTTAGGGTCATATGTAGGTTATGGCACCTTTGGCGTTGGAGTCCAGAAAGACCTCGACGTAGGATGTGGGGACGTAACCCTCCTCTTCCTCGTTTCTTCTAATACGCGTCCATCCATCACCTTTGTCTTCCTCTATTACATACAAGAGCTCACCCTCCACTACTGAGATAGTGCCTTCATTAGCACCTACAGAGAAAATTGGAAGAAAAGCAATCAATCCATAAATAAAATATGTATATACACTACCATTTAAAAGTTTGGGGTCAGTAAGATTATTTAAAGGGGTCATATGATGCGATTTCAAGTTTTCCTTTCTCTTTGGAGTGTTACAAGCTGATTGTGCATAGATAAGATCCCTGAAGTTGCAAAGACTAAAGTCTCAAAACCAAAGAGATATTCTTTATCAAAGTTAAGACTCTGCCACACCCCCCTAAAA